AGAACTTTTCCTCATGATGTATTCTAAAACTCTCACTTCTGTTCTGGGTTATGTTGCCACTTATATAGTGTGTTAATTCAGTCTTTAACCTTGATTGTTTAAAGTATGTTTGTAGATGTGTGTATTAACAATCAAAAGAATCCTCCACTAATGTATTGTAACAACAAAGAAAAACCCAAAAAATTCAAACAAGAAATTCATTGGAAAAATTCCTTTATGTGTTCTATTTGAAATGTTTCAACATGAAAACATCAGTATCTGTGAAAGTCATTTAGTCTTTTAAATGGCTAATTCAACACATTACAGCCAAGCATTTTCTTTATTTTTATACAAAAAGTACATGTCATATCCAAACGAAGCAGAAGTTGTGCAGCTAAACAAAAACCTGGGGATTTACTAGGACAGCAAACTGGATTGAAAATGCAACATTGAGAAATACATAACACATTTTCCTGACAAAGCTAAATAAATCTGCTCCAAAATATTGTGCATCTCCACCTCCACTGTTGTGGAGAGCGCCATCTGTCTGTTTATTTTATTATGTGGGTCAGTTACACAAGGACAACTGGTGCCTGTCATATTTGACAAGCTTCAGGTTCTCTGCTCTGAGGGTGCCTGTAAGTGGGATATATACAAGAATATTAGGATATATGCACATTGTTGACATCTGATTAAGTGAAATGAGCGTGCTGGTGTGAAACTGCATCCCAAAACATTACTTATCCCTTTAAAAACTATACAATTATGGTGACGGTCATAAGTGTAACTTTGAGCATTTGCTCTCCAAAGGTCATAGCACCGATGACCCTGAAGATTGCAAAGAACCTACATGTTTTTAATGATTTCCTTTAATTCTCAAATTGTCAGATTAACTGTTTCTGCAGACCTATACTTGAGCTAAAATATGAAGACTAAATTGTAGTTCACCTATGTTGGTCAGTGGCTTTACTAGCCTCAAGCTAATGTATATCCTTTATCTGATATAAAGAAATATTGGATACATACCAAAAACATTTGCATCACAACTGCTGGTGAAAGATCAATGGGTCCTTAGGGTCTCAAACAAGTTAAACCTCTATGAAATTAGACTGCTGGTTGATCAAATATTGTGTTATTGCATCCATGCAGTCACTCACCTCCTGCTTAAATGCTGCAGTGATTTGAACATTTGTTTTTTTCCTGGGAGACTGCATATAATGGTGGAAAAGGATTTCTTGCAGAAAATGCAAAATTCACCAGCAGTGAAGAAAGCCTTGTTCATTCATTTTATTGAAATTACCTCAACCTTGGCAAAATAAATGAGAGATCAAGGAAAGTTTGCTTTTCAGATGAAGTGGGTGGCTCTTAAAAGAACCGTTGGTTTGAAACGTTGAGGATGAGGCCGTTTACTTGGAGCTGGTGTACTTGGTGACAGCCTTGGTGCCCTCAGACACGGCGTGCTTAGCCAGCTCACCGGGCAGCAGGAGGCGAACAGCCGTCTGGATCTCCCTGGAGGTGATGGTGGAGCGCTTGTTGTAGTGGGCCAGGCGGGAGGCCTCAGAGGCGATCCGCTCGAAGATGTCGTTGACGAAGGAGTTCATGATGCTCATCGCCTTGGAAGAAATCCCGGTGTCGGGATGGACCTGCTTGAGCACCTTGTAGACATAGATGGCGTAGCTCTCCTTCCTTGTCTTTCTCTTCTTCTTTCCTCCTTTGCCGGCAGTTTTGGTGACGGCTTTCTTGGAGCCCTTCTTGGGCGCTGACTTCGCGGGTTCAGGCATCTTTCCCTGACTTAGAGTCACAGAATGAATGAATGACTGGCCGGTGTAAGGGCCCACTAATATACGGGGGATATGTAAATGAAACTGTGTGGTTCCTCGTCTGTAATTGGTTGAGCTTTTGCCAGCCGTAAACTGTTGTACAATGTCGTAATAACTTTGCTGGCATGAACATCCTTTTGGCGCCCAGTTTCACAATTGGGAAGAATTGGACACACTCCCGATATAGTGATATCCGCATTCCTATTGTTCACAGCCATAGACATGTCTATGTTCACAGCCCTCCTGTAATATTTTAATGAAGGGAGTAAGTATGGGACATACGGGTACTTTTCATTGTACTATAATGGCTGGGGCATGGACTGGTGTATGCAGACACTCCAGCGTCAAAATGGCGGGATGTAACAGATAGGGCTCATAGGGCTTTAATATTCATTCGTCAGTTGATGGTAAGTCGATCAAAAATAATATATAATACATTTAAGGCATGTATACACTAAATACAAAGTACAATCCCACAACGGAAACGCAGCTCTTTACGAAAGAAGTGGTGGCCCTTAAAAGGACCTTTATGAGAAGAACAGCAGGAAGTTCAGCCACCAAAGCCGTACAGAGTGCGTCCCTGTCTTTTCAGGGCGTACACTACGTCCATGGCCGTCACAGTTTTCCTCTTAGCATGCTCAGTGTAAGTTACAGCATCACGGATAACGTTCTCCAGGAAAACCTTCAGCACGCCACGAGTTTCCTCGTAGATCAGACCGGAAATGCGCTTCACGCCGCCTCGGCGGGCCAAGCGACGAATCGCGGGCTTTGTGATCCCCTGGATGTTATCACGGAGGACTTTACGGTGACGCTTGGCGCCCCCCTTCCCAAGTCCCTTACCACCTTTTCCTCGACCACTCATCTTTCGATCTATTCGGTAATTGTTTTGCCAAACACGGACCCCGGTTCAGTCGTGGAGAGAGGAATGCTGTCAGAGGACGTGCTAGGAGACAGGGGCCGACTTACTCTTCTTCTGTAACCTTTTGGTGGTTTCTGATCGTTTAAGCGCCCTCTACTGACCAGCAGCAGTAGTAGAGGGACGGCTGGTATGAGAAGCACAAAGTCTCTACCCAGTACAGTTTCGGGAAAGGTGACAGTGTGAAGCAATAAATAAATTCAGCAACCTGAATCCAAAAAGACAGGAGAATTTACAAGCAAAAATGTGGCATGTGTTTTGTGAGGCCTTTTACATTCGGCCTCTTCCTCGGCCTTCATCCTCTTGCATGAGGGACACAGCCATTAAACACCTACAAGCATCTTACAACATAACCTATTTCACTGTCTCCCTGTACTTGGTTAGAGTGTAAAACCATATATATGTGTTCCCCACAATCTCTGTAAATGTCAACGTCTGTATGTATTAAACTTTGTGATTACAGTAGCTCACCCTGGAGACTCACCCTGGGACTTTCCAACTTGCCTTTTAGGGTTGAGGCACAAGAGGAAACTAAGCAAGATATTCACATTTCATTTATTGGTCTAATTTAATGAAACTGAAGCTTGCTGAAACACAACAAATGCCTACTTTTCTCCTTGGTGGTCATATATCTGTACTCAAAAATTGGTGTTAGGTTTTCCATAAAGCCTTTTTTCTACACAAAGATTACTATCATGTCATCTTCCTGTCTAAAAATCTACAGGTCATTAAGCTTTCCTGAATCAATAAGCAGCAAATGAACAGAGATATTTAACTTCTAACACATTTGAATGAAAGATATGCAGTTTATGCATACTTTTTTTCCATTTGGTTTTTTATCTATGGACATCTTGCCTATCATGCATGAAAATTAAGAAAAAAGGAAGGAAGCTGAGCTTATTTTTGAAAACTCGGTCTTTGTCTTTTGCATATGGTCCCGTGGGAAAAAGTCCACTTGTTGAGTTAACTTCCTCTTCTGTGAACATTAACATGCAGAACAACTCATCTTCTTGAGTTGTCTGTGTTTACTGGCACACATGTGTTTCTGAGTTGCTCAAGAAGATGAGAGGAGCAGCCATGAGTTCAACTGTGCTGACCAGAGGGGTTATCATCCTTCTCACTGCAGCAGGTATTGCACATCTACTTGTATAAGTTTAATAACAAGACTTGGTCATGGTACAGGTAGTTTTTCTGTACATATGCTCAGTGAGTTTATCTTCATATTTAAAACGTTTATTTCTATATTTCATTAAATGTTTTTGCCATTTTGTTCTGACGGTCCATATGACTTATTTACAACATTTTGATAGCGCAGTAAGAACATGATTTGTTGAAAATGTATGTAACCATTTTAAACATTAGTGTCTAATAACGCCTACTATGAGGCGAGAGGTCAAAGTCAAAAGAAAAAGTCTCATGGTAAAGAGAGGCAAAAATGCAATGTCCTCATGTGAGGGTGCAGGGTCTCAGGGGGTTAAATGTTTTTCGTAGACTCTCGTGTTTTTCAAAAGTGTTCTTTGTCTTTTGTTAGGATGGATTGAACATAAAGTAGAAGAAAAAAAATAATTACAGCGCTTTTGCTGGAAAAGTCAGAATTAAATATCTTGTTAAAGTGAATTTGAAAAGAAGTGTATCATGAGTACTCAGAAATCATTTGAACTTTGGTTCTTTCTGCAAAAGCTTAATTTTGATGTTGATGATTCACCAATAAATTAATCATTGTTTAGTTTGGTAACAAAAACATTGTAAATATTGTTTCCCATTGTTTTTTCAAATGTTTTCTGTTTCAGTTGTTTATGGTCAGCATGGCTGGGAAGTGAAATACGGGTCTTCTGAGATCTGTGCCGTAAAAGGATCAACGGTGGAAATGATAAGCTCATATAAACATCCATCAGACTTTAAAGTTGAAAGGGCGTTTTGGTTTACACAAAACCCTGAAAATCGCTATAATGATCTAAAATATGACCCAAACTATTCAAACCGTTCGGAATATCACTGTCAAAACAAAATCTGCAGCGTTAAAATAAAAAATATAACAGAAAATGACAAAGCCGTCTACAAATTCCGCTTTTTGACAAACAATTCTGATGGGAAATATACTGGTGTACCAGGAGTTTCTTTGTCTGTCACAGGTAATCTTTTCATTTGATTATATGTTGCTTGTCCTCTCTTACTGTAACCAACTTTATGCAGAAAACAAAATTCCAAACTAATGTTTCCTTTTTATTATATTACAGATTTAAATCTGCAGGAAAGAGTATACATCACTAGTCGGACTCAAAACTTTGTGTGGTTTATGTTAGAATGTCAAGCCAGCTGTGATTTCCATGGTACTCAATCCTACATTTGGTCAAAAAATAAACAGGAGGATTCTCATCAAGTGTCTAAATACTATTTAGTCCCGTTGAATCAAGCAGACACTGTATCCTGTGGTGTCACAAGTGGTGGCTTAAGGAGTCCGAGTGAGTTTGTATCTTAATCCTCCTTGACTTGGTGTGTACTGTCACTTCGTATGCATTAATTACACATTCAACACCAGGCTTGTATCTGTATGGGTTGTAGTTTGAAATGACTTTCCTGTTTCTACAATTGTTCTATGAAAAATGAGTGGGGATAAACCATCAAGCTTGAGACAATATTGAAAAATATGACTACGGCTGTTTTATCTTTTTCTTTAAATATAGAGAGAAGTTTCAAACAGAGAGAGTTTACGCCTTCAACTAAAATGTGTAGCTTCAGTGGATCAACTGTGAAAATAAGATGCCACCCGGGATTTTGCTCCGCAACTGTGGAGTATGACACTCACTGGGCAAAAGGTTCAGACTTCAAAGACCGAGTTAAATTTGCCTGTGATAAAAACGACTGTACTCTGTCCATCTCAGACCTCAGAGACAATGATCCAGATGAGTTCTTTTTTACTTTTACCCAAATGCAAAGAGAAGAAAGATCTTCAATTGGATTAACTTTGTCTGTCAAAGGTAATATTTACAGTAGAAATAAGTCTGCTTCAGCGTGCCGTAAACATTTCTATGTGTATGTGTATTTTTGACAGTTATAATACAATTGAAAATATTATTTAAATTCTGTTGGTCATACACAGATCTACGTCTCGACATTAATGTGAGGCAGACAAACAACCACCTTGAGCTGGTGTGTACCAGCAACTGTCAGCTGCCTGATAATGTTGTCTTCCAATGGTACAAGAATGGGCAGACACTTCATGAAAAAACACAGAACATGATTCTGAGAGAAACTTCTCTTTTAGACTCTTACCAATGTGCTTTACAAGGACACTCGCACAGATCTCTTCAAGTTTGTGAGTTTAGTTTTCTTTGTCTTACTGAAACGCTGGACTGTAATTCACAAGTTTTAAAAAAAGCATATTTAATTGAATACGATAGTCTCAGTCTCAGATTCATGTTGCTGTAGGGAGTAATTTGATCATTTAAAGTTTATTTTTAATGTGTAAAATCTAAGCTATCAACAGTTACAATAATTTGAATTGACTTTCTGATTTGAAAGTGTCGTTGTGTTTATTTCTCCCCTTCAGATGCTCCAAGGAATATGTTGGTGACTCCTTATGGTGAAATAAAGGAGGACTCGTTGGTTAACCTGACCTGCAGATGTGATGCTCACCCAGCTGCTACCTTTGCTTGGTACAAGATGGACAGAGGTCAAAAACCATTTCCACAAAAAATGGAACCATATCTTATCTTCAGGTCCATCAAATCCACTGATTCTGGACATTATCAGTGCACAGCTGAAAATGATCTTGGGAAGAATTCTGAAGAAATATTCATTGACGTGAAATGTGAGTCAAATCCGAATCAGAGAGTGTAAAGTAATCAGATCCGTCAGGCTTTTAAACATACAGAACTTCAGCGATCGGTCATTTTGGCCCTGTGTGCAGGGGCATTGTGGTTTGGATTTTCTTCGTATAGATGAGAGCCTGTCATGCTGGGATCTATTGTAGGCAGATTGGAGAACAGTTGGACGCTTCGGGCTCATTGTTAAGCTCTTTGAGGTCCTCTTCTTCTGCTGGGGAACACTGTTGCCAGGTCTTGTGACAGGAACAAGCAATCAGTCTGTGAAATCATAACTATATTCTGATAAGAACAGGAAGCTCAAAGTCTTGTTGCATACAATTTCATTTTTACTTTTTCATGTCAGTAGTCATATTTAGATGGTGCGGTGGTTAAGTTTATTTGCGTCACAGCAGGAGGGTTCCTGATTCAAATCCCCACTGGGGACCTTTCTGTGTGGATTTTGCATATTCTCTTTGTGTATGCATGAGTTGTTTTCAGACACTCTGGCTTCCTCCCATAGTCTAAAAACATAAAGGTTACATTAATTGGAGTCTTTACATTGCCCACATGTGAGAACATATGTGAGAATATACTGTATGTGTGCGTGTGGTTGTTTGTTTCTGTGTTGCCCTTTGATGGTGTGGTGACCTGTCCAGGGGTTACCCTGCCTCTCACCCAATGACATCTGGAATAGGTTCCAGTCACCCTATGACCCTATTAGGAATAAACATTGTAGAAAAGGGATAGGTGGACAACTTTGAAAATAAAAGATGAGATGTTTTAAGTAATCTCTTAAAAATGGAAAGACTTACTTACAAATTAGATAACTATATATAATACATTGCCTTCATGAAGTGGTGCTGCATCCAAGATTATCAGTGATGAATGGCACATGTTCATTACCAGCCATTAATGACGTGCTTAAAGAGGCTAATGATAAGCATATCTGGCAGTTTACAAGGGTTATGCAAGTTATACTGATTTTGATGTGGCTGATCTTAATCTTCACATTATATCTAGCTGACTTTGTTTCAAAGTCCAGTGTAGATGGATGTACATGTGCTATTTTTCAGTCATGCCTTCAAACTATCATGTGTCTGCACCATACCTGCTGTATTTTAAAGTATTTTCTTTCTGATATTTTTTCAGATGCTCCAAGGTCTGTCTCTGTCTCAGTGAGTCCCTCTGGAGACATATTAGAGGGCCAATCAGTGACTCTGAACTGTAGCAGTGATGCTAATCCATCAGCGCGTAATACCTGGTACAAAAAAACGACAAAGTGGTTTCTGTTGAACCACATGGTATTTACAGTATTATTTCTGTCAAGTCTGGAAACACTGGGGACTATTACTGCAAGTCAGAAAATGACTATGGACATAGCATTGAATCCATATATATAAAGGTCCTGTGTAAGTCCAAATTGGCTGTTTTAGTACGATGCCTGCATATTATCATTAGTGGAGTATTACCTGATTTGTTTATCATTATTGTCTCACAGATGCCCCAAAGCGCCCCTCTCTGTCAATTAGTCCCTCGGGTGAGTTATTGGAGAACAATGAAGTTACACTGACATGTAGTAGTGATGCTAATCCACCAGCTAATTACACCTGGTACAAGAAGGGCAAACGCTTACCAGAAGGTTCAGGACACAACTTCATCATCACCAAAACAAGACTTGACCAGAGTGGATATTATTACTGTGAAGCCCAGAACAGATGGGGGCGTCATAACACCACCATACATCTGACTATTGTGCCAGGTACTCTTCTTTCTTTTTTTATAAACCCACAATGGCTGATTGTTTTTGTCAGACTAGTGTGAATTTATACTGTCATTTTACACAGAAAGCAGAAAAAAATGTTTCAATTTCTGTTAGAACTTTGATCTGCTGCAAATTATGCTAAGTTTGACTCAAGAGGTTTATGATGTTTCTCGCAAGTTGTTAGATTTGTTTAAGTAAAATATGATAGAAAAAAAACAATAAAAAGAATATTCCTTGGTGTTTTCCCAGAGTCACAGAAAACTGTAATAATTGGAATAATATCTGTCATCTCCCTGGCTATCATACTCCTTTCTGTCTTCCTGTTATTGAGGTGAGTATTCATGCACTAAATTCCCCCAGAAAATCAAATATTCAGTTTGGTAACAAAGGTATTAATTCTACTAAACTAGAAAGAGGAGATCTGCAAGTTCATTACCTGAACCTACAGGAAGACCAAAAAGCAGTGAACAGGTGAGAAGGGATGGTTTTGGTTATGTATATATATGTATATATATATATGTATAACATGTCTGCATGTGTGTATCTGCAGGGTCAACCTGGTACCGTGAAAAGGCAGGACCATACACATGAGGATGTCTGCTATGCCAGTGTCCATTTCTTGAGGAAGCAGACAGATCCCATCTATTGCAACATCAGACCAGTTGGAGCCCACAAGCTGAACGAGGAGGAAGATGAAAGTGTAGAGTACAGTGTTGTCAAGTTTTCCAATACACAATCTGTTTCAAGGTAGGTAGATTCTTTCATGGAACATTAGGCCTAATTAACCTCAAAATGATACACATTTAAAATCCTAAAGAGAGACATTTTACACCCTCAAAGCTGGAACACTTTTCGGAAGTGTAAATTAAACTAAATCTAAATAATTGGCTGACAAACTACTAACTAATATAACATCGCAGACCATGACCGACATACTTTTGCACTTGTTTGAATTTATGCTACATTCATGCTTTCAGAACTGAAGATCAACCAGCGGAGGATCCAGCTTCACTGTACAGTGCAATCCGTAAATTCAGATGAACTGAATAAGGCATATTTTGATGGATTTCGGATACAACATCTGTCTGAGAATGCAGCATCTAGGCCATAACGCAAAGTAAAAGTTGAAACAGAAAAGATGAACTCTTTTTTGGTTGTCAGAGTTTAGATGATGTGTAGTTGGTTCTTGTAAATGTTGGATTTTATTATAAGTGCGTCCCATATGATCCGAATATTTACATTTTTTTTCATTTCTGTATTTATTTTTAGACTTTTTTCATGAAAAGTGTATTGAACAGAAGGGAAGTGATGGGAAAAGGGAAGGAGAAAGAAGAAAGAAAAGAAAATAGGAAAAAAATGGCAAAAGTCCATTATCTTTAAAATTATATATTTTTTCCCTTTTCCCTCTTGTCAAACATCCCGTATTATTGACATTGTGTGTTTTTTTGTTTTTAACAGTTCTATAAAAGACACCGACACCAATTATGGGAACAATTGTTCTCCTGCTTTTTTATTTGTTGTTGCGAGCAGGTTTTGGTTCTTTCTGATTCTAGTCATATCAGCACAGTATACAGAAAAGTTGATACAAATGTTTTTCCATAACCCCCAACATCACTTTGAGATATTCTCTTCTGCAATATTAAGTTCTCATTATACAGACTTGGTCACACATAAATTGTAATTTGCATAAATTGTAATCATGGATCTTTGTAAATCCATGATTATAAAATCATACATGATTCTGCACATATTTGTTTAACTTCTGCAGCCATTGGTAGACAGATCCTTTGCAGCTTCGTCAAGAGTTTTGCATTTATCTTGCAGACTAGGATTTTTGGAGCATTCTGCAGCCAAAGGCCAGCGTTCCACCCAGGTGTCCTTCCCCAACATGTAGTTAAATCTGACACAGAGACAATGAAAGTCATGTTTAGTATGTAACTTTGACACAAAGAGCAGTGTGATATTGATTTTTTTAATTTTATTGTGCGCTGAGTGAAATAATCATAAGTCAAAGTCAAAGAGAATAAAGACATTAACTTTGTTCTATCTAATATGAACTAAAACTAAATGACAGGAACCGAGTTCACCTTTGGTGAGAGAATGGCTTAAAATAAAAGTGAGTTGAAGTAAGGATTAGACAGCCTAACTCTCCAAAAAGTGATGTGAAACACCATGACTAAACAACTCAGCGTAAAAATTAAGATACCAGGAGATGCAGTCTTGAGTAGTGATTAAAAGGTTTTCCCAGTAGTGATGATTTTCAGAGTTGAATATTCTTGATACTTCAAATGTTTATTTCAACCACTTAAATTGCTTCTGCTTTCCAGCACAATATTTCTTAAAGTTTTACATTTTCTTTGTTCTTCTTACCCATTGTTGTCAGTGGTCCACTGGTCCTCTTTGGGGCCCATAATGAGGTATGTTGCCCCTTGCCTCAGGTTGAGTTTTGCTCTACATGCCGAATTAGACATAAAAATCTTCTTCTGACCCACTGTGACTCCAGTTTCAACACCTGCATGGTGAAAAATAAAACAAAAAAAGTCTGATATTAAATAATTCAGTATGAAAGTCTTTTTTTTCCCTCTTTTCGGTTAATCCTTCCTCTTAAGAGAGACACTGTGAAGGACGAATCAGGATTAACATGTATTTGTCGTTATCAAACCTTACAAATATTTTATTCATCAGAACACTTCTGATTCTAAAACTGATGTTTGGATGTGTAAACAGTGTTTGCAGTTGGGTTTTACTTAAAAAACAAAGAGGTTTGGATAAAAATGTTGGTGGGACTCACCCAGTTTTATAACTTGTGTAATCTCCATCTCGTATTTGTCATAGTAGCCCTGATTGACACTCAACACCTTCACCTGGAAAACTAAAACACAAATGATCATACGTACACATCACTGTCGTTATATGTATGAAAACTACTGAAAAATCTGTCATGTTACCACAGCCCACTGATGACTATTGTTTGAAATAGTTTGATTATTGTGATGACTTCTTTACTTGAGAAATTTCTTGGTTAAGTTTATGTGCATTAACTTTGTATATCTATCCTGATTAATTAATATTTGAATGTAAAAAGGATCTTTTCAATATGCATCCCGTGTTGCTGTGGCTGCATCTTACTGTGGAGTAAGCCCTTGCAGGCAAACGTCTCTCTTTGTTTCGTGAGGAAATTTTCCCAATCAAATTTGGAGACACAGCAGTCACCTGGAAATGTCATGCCAGAGGAGAGTTTACAGGTGTCAACATTGAAGGCAACATGAATTCAAACACACCCAGTCATGCTCTGTTGGAGGCACATTCACACTTTACCATGTGTGCAGCGGCAGACGTCGTTCTGGCAAATCCGAGAGAGCTCCTCCCTGTCCTCTCTGGGCGAGTATGTACGGCTGCAGCGGTGATCTTAGGAATGCACAAAGGGTGTTACATTTTAAAGTACGGTGAAGAGAATAAATAAATAAAGAGAGAAATAAAACTTTTTTTTCCCCACACTGTGTCACAATATTTTTATAAATGAGTCTTGATCATCTGAGATTCACAGCGACAATGCTCTGTCTCAGAAGCCTTTCCTGAAGCAGGCTGTCTGCATACCTGGATTGTAATACTCGTAGACCGTAACTGAGGATGGCTGCAGGAGGCCGACTTTAAAGTTCTGCTGAAGTCTGAAGACTAATATTTCTGGTTCTTTATGGGAAACCTGTCATGAGAGGATCGGAGCAACTGTTAGTCCAAACTGAGAAGAATATCCATTACAGACAAGGCAAAAATTGAGTTTGGTGGGGAATATAAATAAATGAATAAATAAATAAATAAATAAATAAATAAATAAATAAATAAATAAATAAATAAATAAATAAATAAATAAATAAATAAATTAATTAATAAATTAATAAATTAATTAATAAATTAATAAATTAATAAATTAATACATTAATACATTAATAAATAAATAAATAAATAAATGAACAAATTGCTACTTAACAGGACCTGCTTCCTGAAATAGAAATACATCCAATAACTCAGACTGCTCTCTATCATGCTGTTACCTTAAACAGGTGTAGGATCAGGGAGCCTCTGTCACTCAAGTTGTCTACAATCTGATGGTTGCTGACGTAACAGTCCACTGAGTTGGACAACTAAAAAAAAAACATACACAAAATCTAATAAACAAAATGATGTGAAGTCTCTCTTTTTCTGGTCTTGTCACAAAGAAACACAGAAAGAAACAGAAGCAGAAGAAGAAAATCCAGAGGCAGAAAAATCAGAGAATCTGTCTATGAATGTAAGCAGAGTCAACATGATTAGTACTGATGAAAGCTTAGCTTCGATGACATATATGATGCAATCTTCAGCTTAAGCACTTCTGTTTGATTACCATCTCCATGTCTGAGTTGTCTGGCGTGAAGCCAGTGGGCAGGCTGATATCAAGAACCACCATTCGGACATCTCTGGGTCCTAATGCCCTGTGAAAGGAACAGATTACAGCAAAGTTTGTCACTGATCTAGTTAGACTTTTCAGGTAAATAACTTTTATCATAGAAGCACTGTCACAACTTTTCTCCACCACTGGGAGAGCACAGCAGTATTGAATGTTTCAACTGGCTAAAATGTCAATAAAACATTATCTATGATTTTTTTTGTGATACTTTTTTGTGATTTTTAAATAAGTGATTTTTGTAAGGTAGGTACTCACCTCACTTTGATAGTCATCTTGAATAACTTTTCTATATCTCCTTGAGGTTTGTCTGTCATTGGGATAGAGAAAGATATACATACCTCATACTGATAAACCTTTTTCTGCTTAATGTACACTGTGAACTCTTCATTTTAAAACAACTAAATTTCTTAATCCGCTGTGAACTGCGAGATGGTTCGTAGATGACTTACCAGAGGACTCTTCAATAACGACACTGAGCTCAAAGTCCTTGCAGGGTGTGCTCTCGGCCACTTCATGCAACTGGTTATAATGGGTCACAACCTTGGGACAGATTCACAGAGGAATGGAAAAATTGGAATGGAACAAGAGATGCTGTTTTCTTTATATTCTACAGTTCAACTAAATATTAATGAGATTTTATTTACAAAGCTGTCTATTTACAGTTGTGTAGGAAATATTTCTTTACCTCTAATATTCCCTGCCCATTTCCCTCAACCACCACTTCCAAATCGAGATCAGCGGGTAGCTAAATGTAAAAAGCACCAGACAACCAGAAAGCACTGTTTCAAAGCACATCTGAAAAACAATGCTGATACACTGTAATGTTTCTATATTCTTCAATGTCACTGTGAAGACCATCTAATAAAGGGCCTCACCCTGGAAGACTGAGCAGCATAGGCTGTGCGGGGGTTGAAATGGTAACGAATGTCCTTGCGACCTGTTATTTTGACATCAACATTCAGACTGAGGTCATTAGAAATTGGTTTTTTGGTCATGTACTCTGACAGTGCCTGGAGAACCACCATGGTGGACTGCAAGGGGGCAGAGACAGAAGACAAAGTCACAAAGGTCAACATTCTTCATTTAACAACATGATTCCGTCTGACTGGACTAAGCATCAACAGGCAGCCTTTCGGCTGTCAGACACCATGGGTAGTACCTGAGTTGAGCCAAAGCCACCTCCTCTTCTTCTCTGGCTGTTCAACCATTTGAAAGGTGCTTTTGCATCTTCCATGCGTCCCATTTTTACAAGAGCCAGAAGAGCATAGCCAGTTGCTTCCAGTGTGAACAAGCGGTTTTCACGGTCAGGCCAGTGACTTTTATCTGGAGAGAAGAGAGAGAATGAGGGAAGAGAGGAAATGAGAGGGAAGTGTTTTAACTGAGCTTCATACCTCCTCACACATCTGTTGAATTTATTTAATAATATTTGTCTCTAACCCGTAAAATACAGCATCATCAGCAGCAAAACGTGTAAGCCTAAACAGCACAGGGACTACAAGGGAGTATAGTGACGCAGGAAAAAGTTATTAAAAAAACTAAAGGAGGAATTTAAAACATTAAGCATGAATTATATTTTTCTCAATTTAGAATTCTTAAATGACGAATGTTTTAGATGTTAATATCATATTAGTGATAGAACCGTTCAACTTCCTGTGTTTACAATTATTTTCTACGACTCTGTCGAGACTTTTCTTGCAGAAAATAAGGATATTAACTATTTTCTATTTATTACTATATACTAAACAGAAATTGACATAAACCAAGTTCACCTTTGGTGAGAGAATGGCTTAGAATAAAAGTGAGAGGAAGGAAAGACTAGCCAGCCTAAATCTCCCCAAAAAGTGTGAAACACTGTGACTAAACAACTCTGAGTAAAGGAAGTTACCAGCAGATGCAGCCTCAAGTAAAGGTTGGTGGTCAAAAGTTTTTCCTAGGAGTGATAGTGCATAGGAAGCAATGGCCACCGTGTATGGCCTCCTCCCACGTGTCGACAGAGCTTTAGTCAAGAACGTTGTTGTTGGTGTGTTGGTGACCTACAGTGGACAGACAGGGGAGATTTAAATGAACAATTTTACCATCAGTTTTACTCAATGTATATTTTCAAAACTTAATAGGAAATTAATAGTTCTTCTCAGCATTAATTTCCTTTGCCTCAAGATGCTTCCAACCCAAAACCACAATCTTAACATTGCATTTTGGACCCCTTCCATCTGGAAATGTGTCAATCAGAGCCATTCAGATTTTAGGGTAGAACATTTGTCACTCTCGAAGGTTATGAGGTAATTCACGAGACTCAGTCACATCTGCTTTTCATGTTGCTAATGTCATCCTTGTTAACCTGCCACTGCTACTTTTCAGTCAATCACAAATGATGCCTCTGAATCATCAAGTTACTACGCTGTTGGTGATTAAAGCTCTCATTTCTTCCATGCTTAATGTCTGTGAGATTACAGTTAAATTGGCCTCTTGCTGTTCACATTCAGGCGACTCTCTCTGCCCGAAAGAATTGGCTCGTTTTTTTGTTGTTGTTGTTGTTGATCATACATTTTTACATAGTTCATTGATCACAGAATCTGGTGAGCAAATCATGTTCTACCAAAATGTGTTACTTTGCTTGTGACCCAAATCAGTAAGAATTGATCTGAAATGGGGAATAAGAAAACATTGCTGTGGTGTCACTCAGTTTTTTTTTTTTTTTTAAAGGGTGCATCTGCATATGTCTTACAAAAATCAAAGAAAAATCTGGGCTTTTTCCCTTTGTGTTCTGTGTGTACTTAACCTACATCCACAGGTGAACCGTTGCATCTGATCCCAGCCTGCATGGCCTCTGCAAGTGCGATGTGTACAAAGGCTGTGAGTGTTATCTCTGGGTCGTCACCACGAAGACCACCCTGGATTGGGTCACAGAAAAAATGCAATAAAATCCTACAGCTTGAAACAGTGGTAAATATAATGATAATATTTACTTATCATCCTACTTGCTGTTTGGTTTTACAATAAACCTTAACCCTATAATGTATATGTATAATATTTGATACTTATGGGTTCTGAAATGTTTTTCATCCAAGACTTTTTCCATCATTTCATGGTAAAAACTTTGCTCACGACCCTGTTGTGCACAATCAGATATAACTGATAACAGTCGTCAGAAGACTACAAGACAATAATTGTGACTTATTGCATGGTAATAGGTGATGAATATTAATAAATTATATCTTTGTTTTCCATTTTTTGTTAAAGTGTCTAATGAAGACTTCAAACAAATAAAAATAAAAATTCTCTATTTTTTTGGATCAGGTTTTTCAGGGTTAAGAATCATCGGAACTTCAGTTTGTAGTTGTCTTTCAGTGTCAGAGCCTCACAGTCATAGTAGTGGTGTAGACTGGGTTGTCCTCTCTGTATGTTCCCTCATGATGTTTAAGTTTATTTTCCTTCAAGTATAACAGAGGGTCGCACACTTGCTGCTGCTTGATGCTGACGACGGAGTAGGCCATAGAGAACACCTTCACCACGTACGCTGTGATCCTGAAATGTTGTTCAATTTTATCACTCACATTATCCTGTGAATATCAGTTATCTAAGGACCTAAACCGATTATTTCAATCACCTACATGTAGACATTATAGCATTAGCCTGTACAACCAGATTTTAAAACATTATTTCATGACTTTCAGGGGTTTAAATGATAAATGTAAGATTTGGACTGGACTGCACCATGTACTTGGTCCTTGGCTCCTGTAAGGTGGGTAGGACCCATCACTTCTTCTGTATACTAGCTGGTTCTCATAACCTAAAAGAGTCAGAAAGAAAAGTATAACATTTTAACTCAATCTCTGATGAAAATATAACTTATTCTAAAACAATCAGCTTGTCAACTCAATGCTGTGTTTCATTCATGAATTGACATATTAATTAGCAATCCACATGTTTGTCTGTTGTTTAATCCAACTACTTAATCCAACAGTTTATCCAACTACCCAATTGAATATCATTCAACCCAAACATCTTCTCTTCAAGTAATTAATTGATTACTGTAACCATTTGCATTAATCAATCATCACTGAAGCAATGTATCCATCTGAAACACAATAGTTTCACAATTAACAGCAAAAATCCTAGGTCTCATCCTCTGACCTTCTTTCCCATTCTTTCTGATGTAAAACACCTTAGACTTATTCTATTTTATATCTATACTGTATTATCTGTCGAGAAAATTTTCAATTTTTTCTGATGTAATTGATTATTATTATTATTATTAGCATTATTATGCTTCACCTTTAAAATCTATAAATAGATGTGCATTTCCCCTGCTGTCTAACCTCTGATGATATATCCAAGAGCCTCAGCCCTGCGCTCTACCCCAACGCTCTCCCAGCTGTTGGTTCGGTCCAGATAGAGGGTGGCAATGAGTGGCAAAGTAATTGAGGCCAAGTTCTGTTCCACACAGCCACCGGGCATCTGGATCAAAGATGCGAGAGAGTCCTTCTTGATGGAGTTATCAATGCTGTCTGCAAAAAGATGGCCTGAGGAGAAATGGAGGAGAATAATCAGGACTTTCTCTGGGATTTATTCTCAGGCCTCACCTCTACTGGATCAACGACTCACCTCTGACATTGATGAACGTTTCTGGCTCAGAGTTCGGCACAATTGATGTTGGCACAAATCTAGGAACATTTATTGTCTGACGTCCTGCAAAAGGCACGTGATATATGAGCCACTGTGTCACTTACAAATAAATTTCCTTTTTTCACAAAACATGCAGCTGTTGCATTGTCCCAGAAATTAAGAGAAGTCAGAACTCAAGCCAGAATTAAAAAATACAGATCAGTCAACCGAGTATATTTCTGTTCTATTTGATTGGTTTGCATTGTTTTAATCTTGTAAACATCCATCCATCCTCAATACCACTTATTCCCTCATGGGGTAGCGGGGGGAACTGGAGCCTATCCCAGTGGTCAACGGGCGAGAGGCAGGGTACACCCTGGACAGTCCGCCAGTCCATCACAGGGCAACACACAGGACAAACAACCACTCACACTCACATTCGCTCCTAAGGGCAATTTCCCCAATCTCCAATCAGCCTAACATGCAGGTTTTTGGACTGTGGGAGGAAGCCGGAGAACCCGGAGAGAACCCACGCAGACACAGGGAGAACATGCAAACTCCACCCAGAAAGGTCCTGGTTCCCCCGGGATTCGAACCCAGAACCCTCTTGCTGGGAGGCGACAGTGCTAACCACCACACCACCGTGCCGCCCTCTTGTAAACATGCTATCTTTAAATCCATGTAAACTACATGTACCACCGGAGCTTAGATTTCTCGAGACTTCCCCCCTCTCTACAATGTGGTATTGCTACACTAAAACTGAAATGAAAATCCCACAATTTACATTGTACGGAGATCGTGTAAAATCATGCATCTCGTACCCCCTTGAGATGATGGATCTAACACTTCATTCCAAACTTCAGTCTTCTGCACCCCATCGACCTATTTTAGAAATGAAAAGATCAATGATAAATTCAGAAGTATTCAACATCTCCTAATACCTGAACAGATTAATCTGTTAACCTGCCAAAAAAAGTTTATTTTCCACTGTCAACATTGCAAGCTGGTCACTCCGTATTAGCGTTATTATCATGAAAGACTCACCACCACTCGAAGAAATTTCTGGACACGGTCTCCTCCCATTAAATTTTTGGCAACCACCATGACTTCTAGAGGAAGTTTCCCAACCACCAGGGGCATAATGCTGTAAGGCAGCACAATAGTCGACTCAGCAGGCAGCATCACTTCCTGTGTGTAGCTGTCCTTAAAAGCAACGCTGCATATGCCTTCAGTCTTCATCAACACCACCCTTAGCTGCACAAAAAGAAGTCAAAGAATCGTAAGAAAAGACAAGGATGACACAAAGTATTTCTTTAAGTGGAAGAAAATAAGAAGAAAGTCATTCTCATACATGTAAGTCAACATAGGCGTAGTTGTGGATCACCGCTTTAATCTCAATCTGTTCGTTCCTCGCCACAGAATATGGCAGCTTCAGGTCAACAAATAAATGTTTCGTTGCTTGGACATTATAGGGCTCCGCAACACAGAAACCTGCAAACAGTCAGAGGCTGATTAGTTAACGGAAAGTGCTTTGCGCAACACAAAGATGTCTTCTTCTGATGGGTTTTGAGATTTTGAGGTTTGAACAATCCAGCCATTCTCTAAACAGCTTATTCCGGGGGTTGGGAGGAGCTGGAGCCGTTCCCAGCTATCCCCGGGTGAGAAGTGTGGTACACCCTGCACAGGTCGCTAGTCCTTCGCTGGACAGAGACAAACTCAACACCTTCAACTTCAATCCTAGGGGAATTTGGAGTGTCTAATTAACTTAAAGGGTGTGTTTTTTGGATGGTGGAAGGAAGCCAGAGTGCCTGGAGATAACCCACGCAGACACAGGGAAACATGTAAACTCCCCACAGAAAGATCCAAGTGCCACGGGGACTCGAACCAGGAACCCTCTTTCTAACCACCACACCACCGTATACTAATGTTTTTGCCACAAGAAGCCTTCACTTGATTATAATTTATGTGTACAGGCAAGTCTCCAATTGATGTAAGAAATCTAACTTAAAATAAGATAAGATGTACTTTATCAATCCAAAAATTGGGAAATTATTGAAAAAAAGACATAATGAAAGGCTTTAGAGGTCAGAATAATGCAAATTTGAAATTATTTTTGAAAATGGTGAAAAACACTTCATTATGATGAATGTATGAATGCATGGGGACATACTTCCTACTCCTCAGTTTGGCAGCTGTACCTTTATTAGCTGAGGCGCTGATAGCCAGGATTCCCCACTCTGTGATACTGTCAGGTAATGGCTGGTTCAGAGTACTGGAGGCCAACCTGTTGATAAAATGTACATTTGTTGTATGTTGCTGGACCTAAATGAACTGAATAAACATTTTTACCCAGTCACTGAATAGACAAAATGTTACAAATTATTTAATGAAGAAAAAACCAACCGAAAGTACAGTTGTTTTCAATATAAATACCTCTGCCATTTTTGAAAACTCCTATCAAACATTTTTACATTTTCAAAGGCAAACAATTCAACAATCAAGATGACGTATTCGTCAAATTCTAATTTAATTTCTTTAGATACAACTTACTGTTCAATATTTTACATACCCATCACTGCCAGTCTGTTGGGGCAGTTTAACATCGATCCACATCCAGGACTCGTAGAACTTGGAACGCAGATAGACTTCATTCTTGTCCTGGTACTCACCTTCATCTTCATCCACCTCATACAGAGAGACCCTTGACACTCCATCATCTGGTGCTCTTCCAAGTGAATGTAATTTGGGTTCAAGTATTTTACCACCTCCACTTAACCCAGGTAATCCTCTTAACCCAGGTGATGAATATTGCCTTGTGGCACCTTGAACACATATTCATAAATATATATTTTTAATTCAATCATACATCAAATATTTATACAAAAACAACTTATACGTCCTGCACAAACAGGGAAAATTATGAACTGACAAGTGAACTTCCAAATAACAATATGAATTGAGTATATCAAATATAAATGATTCGGAACAAAAGACAAAAAAGAGACTGAAATTTACTTGTTTCGACTCTTGAGTAAGTCATATACACGTCATCAAAAGAGAGTATTTCAAAAGAAGGAAGGGGATCAACGATGGTGGTTGTAAGAGGTGTCGTGGTCATTGGTGGTGGCGTGGTAGGAATCTCTCTGTTGAACACCTGCCCCCTGTAAGTGGCACAGCAGTAACGGAAGGCCAGCATGCACTCCCAGCCCTCGGTAATGTAGAGGGACCGTCGTGTGCAGGAGTAAGGCATGGGGATCTCCCTTAGTCCATCTTTACAACAGCGACGTTGCAGTTTGTCTTTGTAGTGATTTTCTGAAGGCAGAAAGGTGTATAAGAGGAAAACAGCATGCAAATGAAAGCTTTAGTTGTGAAACATACAGTTTTCTTTTTTTTTTTTTACAATTTTCTTTTCATGGAAAGATAAAGCACTGCCAACTTTCCTATCATTTGCTGTCTTTTATGTGCAAGGCATTCCCGATATTGTTGAAAAAGGAGCAAAATGATTATTTATTTTGTCATTTGAATTAACTTAAAAGTTGCTCAATTTAAGATTAGAGAACGATGAGCAGTAACTGTATCAATAAAGCATAATACTTATGCAATAAAATTTAATGTGCATCTATCAATAAACCAGAAGCACAAAGCAAAATTAATAACAGTGATTTGAAAAAAACTGTCCTCACCCAGCTGCGCTTTGCGTTTCATCTGTTCAGCAGAGCGTCTTCCTCTGGCACTGCCTGGACACTCTAGGGCTAAGAAGGTGAGAGTGGCCATTGTAAGGTCAGACAAATGATTCATTTACCTTAAGTCTTAGTCAATGAAGAGTTATGGGTGGTATAACATCTTTAACTGTTGTAAATGTCTGCACTAACCGTGCTCAGTTAAATTATCTCAGAAATTCCTGAAAGCAAAATATTGTGGATGTTCAGTATTAAACTACAGAGTAGCGGGGGGGAAAAAACTGGTTAAAAACTTTATTATTAGATTTTATCCATAGTGGCATCTCCTATCCAGGTACAAATACGTTTAATGTACTTTATTTTGCTAAAATAACTGAAAATATACCCCTACAGTAAAATGTAAACAACAGAAAGAAGTGCAAACAGTTGTTACACTAATATCCCTTAGTGAACTACCTTGTCTAGTTTTGGTTTTGAATCCAGCACTGGAGGAGTAAAGAAGTCCTGCATCTGTAAACACTGTTTTGGCATCTTGCCCGCCCCCTTTGGTGCAGCCAATGTCTCCATACTCCACTGCATCCCAAATCTGAGCAAAAGATTAATTTGGGAAAAAGCAAAAATGGTTGATTTTTGCAGCCTCTTGACTTCTAACATCATACAATTTTCTAGATATTGATAATTTTGATCTTCACTTCAAATTCTGTTCATATTCATATACTAAAAATCATGTATCAGAACATGCACTTTGAATATTTTTTCTTGCACTAACTGTTGACATTCCTATTTCATTTTAACTGTAATATTTTCTAAAATGTCCCAAACCTTTAAACACAAACACATAAATTCACATACCTTCTTCTGTGTGAGTCTGTCCTTATTTAGAAGGTACACAGCATTGTCCACAGCCACAAGGGTGACCAACGCTCCCGGATCTCCTTTGATCTGAAAGCGGAGGTTTTTCCCAGGCTCGTGTGGACTGTATCTGTTTCCTACAGGTGCAACTGTGAGCTGCAACAAAGCATAAGACAAAATGCAACTGTAAATGGAAAACCCAGGGAAATAATGGATTACCATTTTCTTTCCAATCATCTTTTGTCATTCAAACAAGAAATATAATGCATCTCTAAAAAGAAATTAAAATGGCTCTCAAAGTAACCCAATCTTATTTTCTCTACATATAACCTATTTAAACTTTTGCGTGTGTATTCATAGTAAAAAAGAGAACATGACCAGTGGACTGGCGATGAATGTGTCGATGAATCATTCTCTAAACAGGGTTTACCTCGACCTCTTCTTGAAATGTATTAATCGTGTGGTATTTTAAAATGGCTCTTTTATCATCCAAGCCTCACAAAGCCAAACTCGTGTTATCTTGATGTTCCCTCAAAAGTTACATTTTCCTTTTTAAATATGTGGAGCTTCTTCCGTCTCCTCTGACAGCAAGCTGAGAGAAAGCCAAACACTCACCCCTCCAATGCAGGAATCTGCCACATCTATCCAGACAGAGTCTGACACCACCTCCTCTTGCCCTAACCAGGGAATACTGTAGAAAGCCACAACACGAAAAGATGGCAACATCTCAGATGTTACCATAAACCCGACAGTGGTGACCACGTGGCTCTGTACATCTAAACGCTCGGCTTTTATGATCTTCCCTTTATTGAGCACCTGCAGAGTTTGGGGTAGAAAGTCCGGAATGAATACATGTTTTATTTAAGAAAGGTTATGAATGAAACATGAACATAAAAAAATGCTCTCACCATGTACGTAATCTTTTTAACAAACTGTCTGTGTGACTGGTCAGAGGTGCTGACTGAGAACTTTAAAGACAGCCTTTCTCCTACAGACACTGAGTTGGTACCCGTGGAGATGTACAGGTAATTTTTCCGCCCGGTAAGGGGGGTGTAGGACTGAACAGTAATCTGTTGCTTGGCCTGCTGGTCTGGTCTCAGGCCAGGATCTGCAGTCTCAACCTGGCATAAAAAGAAGATAAAGAATACACAGATTTGTCCATATGAACCCCAAACCAATCTCCTAATGCTCATCAGTCAAATGCAAAGAAAGAAACAAAGGAAAAGCATCTAAACTTGCAACTGAAGCAAATGATGAATTACCAACGCACATCAGTACAGTCATACTCAAATTAATAATTTGTTAATTATTTCAGTTCATAATAACATAAAATTCAAACATGAAACACAATGTTAAGTTATGAGTTGAAACTCTGTTTGATGGATAAAATAGATGAATTAATAAACATACAGAATGCAACAGAATATCAAATGTTATACTAACAATGATGGTTTGCGTATAGCCGTCTGTGGGCATGTTCAAAGTGGCTCTGATACTCCCGGATGAGGCCCTCAACACTGTGTCCAGCAAATTTATCTTGATATCGACACCATCAACTGGTGCTCCATCGTGGTAATTCACAAGAATCTGGAAGAAATGGGAAAGAGTTTTAGTTTTTCCTATTTCTAAGAAAAATGAAACAAAGTTGAACAAATAAAACTCCTTACTGTGAAATCAAACGGGAGGCCTGGCTTGTAGTGCTTTGGTGTGTCACTGAAGGATATAACATAGGGGGAATCTACTATTTTAATCCCTCTCTTTTCAGCCTCGACCAGATCGCTTCCTGTGCAGATGAAAACAGCAAAGACCTCCTACTACCAAACACATAAACTGAATTTATGAACACAGAATTAAACATTCCCTTTACGATTTGGACTTTTAGTTGATTGAAAGAAAACTTTCATTTCCAGTTTAATCATGCTTCAGTATGTCAAGCAAAATGTTGCTGTCACGTCTGGGGGAATGTCTGGTGTCTCGTCATGTCTTGATTACCTATTGTGTACACCTGGAGTTCCCCTCCCTCATATGTTTAAATAGTCCTTGTTTCCCATGTCCTGTGCCAGTGTGTTTTCATCTTTCTGTTCTCGTCACCCCTCGCCACGTCAGGTTTGATTTTGTCACAGCCATGCCATAGCCTTCTTTTCCTCATTGCCACAGCCATGTTTTTGTCATAGCAATGTTTTGTTAATCTTGATTTAATGCTTTGCCATAGCCTTGTTTGTTTACTTTATTTGATACTTTGTGTTCATAGTCCGGTTAACCTTGCTTTGTTACTTTGCTCATAGTTTTCACAGCCTTGTTTTGAACCCATGTCTGATCATCCACTCCATTGAGTGCGTTTTTGTTGAAAATAAACCCTTGGAACTAACCCTTTCCACGACTGAGTCCTCCCTCCAAGATCCACCCTCATGAGAGTTGCTTTTTATACTCTGAAGTTAAGTAAGTACA